CAGGTGTAAAAGCAAGGCGGGTACACGGCGGCGCTTTGCCTGCTGCGGCTTTTTGGCTGTCCAGAACCCGAGGCCTTGGGGATTCCTGGCTCCAGACCCACGCATGAAGCTGACGGTTATTTTCATATGTGCATAAATGCTCAGCAGAGCTCACAGGGCTAAGTTACTTATCTACTTTGCCATCAAGGAGCCAAAGGCACCCCTGGATCCTTTGAGTTAGCTTTGGAAGTTGTTTGCTGCTACCGTGATGGAAGGTGTGTCTTGAGATTTAAATGGAAAAGTTCAAGAGCAGTAGCTCTTACAGTGCATTGCCTATGAAGTTGTGCTGTTGGAAATGGCTATTTCACGCTTCCTGGGTGCTCAGCTTCTGTTTTATGTGAGAAGTGGGCCAACAGATTTGGAAAAGCAAGGTCTTAAATTGTATGCTGTCGATAAATGACTTGCACTTTATCCACATGTGGCTATGAATCAATAAAACAGGTAATAAGCCAGATGAGTAATGAAGCCATGGTTGTTGTGCGTGCCCTTCCCCCCCCCCTTTTTTTTTCTTGAGTGTATTGTTCAATTCAGACCACCTATATTTTGCCCTAAGCACAAACCTATGGATTCCTTTATTGTTGTCTCTATGATGCTTCTATAGTAGTATTCCATAAACTCTCTTTTATAGGAACTTAGAAATCTTGTCAGGAAGTGGCCCCTGGAGGCCACTTACCCAGCCTTGCTCTCAAAGCAAGACTATTGCCAATGCCAGGACAGTTCAACTCTGCCTTTGCCAAGCCAAGTCTTACCAGTGTCTGGGGACAGAGAATGTACCACCTCTTGGAGTGACCTGCACTGCTTTCTTAGGGATTTTTTTGTCTTAATGTCTAGGCCAGAACTCTGAAGTTGTTCTTTGTGGTTCTTCCCAACCTTTCTGGGGAAAAAAAAAAAAAATCTAATCTTTCAGTTATTCCTGTTTTTCTAAGCTGAAGTTATTGATGAAAAATTTTGAAGTCAAGTCAAGTAAAACATATCTTTTGTATCCAGCCTGGCACACTTCTGCGATCGTTTTCTCTCAGATGCCCTTTCGTTTGTCTCATACAATGTGTACACAACATTTGAGTTCTTATCTTGAGAATCCTCTGAGACACATAGCTAGCAGCATGAGAATGTTGTGATTCACAACTCTTCCTCTCAAATTGTTTCCAAATCTGCTTGGCCATGCCCAGTTTGGCTGTTTTCTTCTGTTTCTGGTTGGAACATCATCAGAAGTGGAATATGATCAATTCGGACTTGAAGAGTAGCTCTTCTATGAATATTAAGAAGCTTAAATGTGTTTAAAAATACTAATGACTAAAACATGAACTAGCTGCTGTAGTGGGAACTGATCTGCAGTTACAGTTGGTGCATGTACTTCTTAGGGGAAGTTCTGGATCATTGGAGTGAGTTTCTTCCTCCTGTGGAAACCGGCTAAGCTTGGAAGGCCTTGGAGCAGCCGAGATAGGGTCTTGCTTCCAAGAGGGAGAAGCTTCATTGCTATCTTGGTCCAGGCAGCGTGTTCCTGTCCTCTGCACTGCCCCAGCACATGTCTGTCTCCTTGGCAGGCTGGTTTTCTAGTTTTTGCTGTGCTAGTGAGTCCAAGTGGCCTGTGGAAGTGTGACAGGAGAATACCAGCCCGTGGGTAAGCAGCAGGTCTGCAGGGCTGGGGGCAGAGGAGGGAGCAGTAGTGACACGTCCACTGTCCGTGACCAGCTCGCAGCTGTGTGTAGAGCTGCATCCTGTCTTGCTTGTGCTCAGGTATGATAGACCAGGAGCATGGTCCCTGGCTGAAGTATCTGGGCTGCAGAAACATGTGAACATTTCCTTCCCCGCTTCCCCTGAGAGAAGGAAAAAGAAAAAAACTCCCCCAGATCATCTCGACTTTGGCTAAGCCTGGGTGACTTTTCACCGCAAGGAAAGGCCTCTTTTAGTGGCGATGCACTTCCCATGCTGTAGCGCAAAGTAGGTGAGTTGCTGCTGGAAGAGGGAGACCTTGCTCCTGTGTTCTCTCCCGCTCTCGTCTGACTGCACAGCAAGATAGCTACATTGCTAAGTTCTCCTTTTAAAATTTATCTGGGTAATTTTCTGTTGGTTTGTTTTTGCCAGTTGACTTTGTTTACTGTGCAAACAAGGCAACTGCCCAAAGCAGTGTAAGCTAAGCAGTTGAAATAGGTAGGGGCTGTGGGACTAGATGAAGGGGAGGAGGGTGTGGCTAAGAGGAGCAGAAGAGCTGTCCCCGCTGGTAGTCACAAGCAGGCCCAGCAGTAGTGAATAAGCATGGGCCAAACTGTAGTGTGAAGCCACAGCAGACTGGATTTCAGGGCCTTGCTCCAAAGTTGCTGAAGCTCAGTTTTGTTTGTAAGTTGTCTTACATTCTTGTTGAAAACGATTTCTGTTCAAACTTAAAACACTGTCTCAGTCTGAATATTTTGTTTACATACTCAAAGTCCAGCTTTCAGCTGCTATATAATGAGTTATTGTACTGAATTTTAAATTTGCTTGTTAGTAATGTGGCTCCAGCTTGCTACGCTAAACCAAAACATTGACGTCGAGTGTAGTTTTATTTTTCTTGTGCATTTTTTACTTGCTATCTCTTATTTTGAATGTTTATGTTAGCCTGAATTGTTACCGGTTTTTTGATGGTTGGAGTGTTGCTTATGCTCTCAGCAGATATAGCATAATAGCATAAAGTCTTGTGTAATGAGTTTCAAATGAGACTTTACATTTTCAATTTGAGACTTTCATTTACGTCATTGACATATATCATCAATTTTGTCTGTTGTATAGACTTGTCTGGATGTAACAATATTGCTTATTTTAACTCTTTCAGTCTGGAATCGAGCTGTTTGTGAACAGACTTGACTCGGTGGAATCTGTCCTTCCTTACGAGTATACTGCGTAAGTGTGTGGGCTGAAAAACACTGCTTTAGAGTAACATTATTTTTTTAAGCATGTATTTTTAACCTTTATACACTAGTTGTCATTTTATAGATCAGAGTGTTACCCTTGTAGCATGTAGCCAGATGAGTTAAAGTAGTAATGAGGTGTGAACTTCCCATCAATTATCTTAATGATGTGTTAAATGCTTTCTTGCCGCACTTGATAGGAGTGCACAAAATATGTCAGTGCCTGGTACAACTACGTAAAACTGGCGCTTCAAACAATACTTTCATTATTAGTATTGAAGAGTTTAAGCACTAGTTATAGCTACATTTTAATGAACACAGTGTGATACATTTGAGTATAGGTTAGAAAAAGTTGAAGTGTGTGCTGTTAAATCTGTTGGTGAATAAAAGTGTATTAATATGTTTATTTAGTGGCATTTGTTGTAAAGAAGTTGTCTGTACTCCCCCCCGCCCCCCCCAAGACACTAGCCTACGTGATTCTTTGCAGGGTTGTTGTGAAATTGTATGTGAAGATTTTATTTCTGGTTAAATTTACTGTGCAATGAGGAAACTACTCATTACTTAAGGAAATGTATGTGACCCTATTAAATAGTAAAAACTGAATTTTGAAATAATCTGATGAAAAATGGTGATGGTTGTTTTTTTAATGGGACTGATTTTTCAGTTGGCTTTTTAGATTCTAGGAATAAATCATTTGTCTAGAAAGAAAGCTGTTACTTGTGATGAAGGTATTGATTGGGCGAGCATTGTATAGGGTCTGATATTTGCAGATGACAATTTTATTAACTTTCGTATGCTTTTTCTAATTCAGGTTTGATTTTTGTCAAGCAGAAGGAAAGAAGCGTCCATCAGAAAACCTTGGTCAAGTCTTGTTTGGGGAGAGGATAGAACCATCTCCTTATAGGGTTTGTTATCTGCCAAAGACATTTCAATAACACACAAATTAATTTATCAATGGGGGATCAGAATGCTGAATAGCTGCTTCATAAGGGCTTTATCTATAGGAATTTGAAAAACTGAAATTCCACACAGTAGAAATTTGTCAGTTTAAGCTAGAATTAAATACATGCTTGTGTCTTTTTTCTTTTTTTGTTATTCCGTGTGTTTTATATAAGAAAGCTAAGCTGCCTAGTATTTAGTGTTAAAAATAATGTATTCGGGAGTCTGCATGTTGCATAATTTTCTAGTAGTGATAGTAGTCAGTCTTGAAAGCTGTCAAAACTAGGAAACTTTAGCAGTAAACTGAAGCAATATGTCTGAAGGGCGAAAGTGGTATTGATGTATTTCTGTCTAGTGTTTGTGTTTTATTTATCTGTTAAAAATTGCTTGCTAGCTGTAGTCATTGTAGTTATTATTTATGTGTTCAAGGACTGGACTTGAGTGGCTGTTCTTTGGCTGGGTTTGTAATGGAGCTTCCTATAGTGCTGGCAGCACAAGTGAGGAAGCAGACTAGTTCCAAGATCAGTGGTTAATATAAGCTAGTATTGGAAATGTTTACTTGTGTGTTGGAGCTGCAGCTTCCAATGCCATGAAGTTTGTTTTTTCTCTTTGCAATCTACCAAAACTTGATTTTCTTTCCTTGGTTTTCTTGTTATGGGGAATTAGAACCAGATCTGCAATCTTTCTTGCTGCTGGTAGTTGGCTAGCTTTTCTTTTATGATGACTGAAGCTCTTGCTGATTCATGCTGTAGGAGAGAACCTTCTCAGCTGAATCTGCCAGGATAGCGTTGTTGCTCCGAGATCAAATGATCTGTAATAAATCACTGAAAAACCAGCAGCCTCCCCCCCTGATTTTGATTGGTAACAAGGAACTCTTAGTGTAAGGATCATGCAATATACTGCATGATCACAGGAAGATTCTAGAGCACAAACCAAAATGAAAATAAAACTCCTCTGGAGGGTTGCTATCTTAGTAATTTTCTAGCTTTTCATTATGTTAGTATAAGAAATTTTGAACATATAGGAGAAACTTGTTAAATACTGGAATTACAAGGTCATGAGATTTTTGCTGATACGCGTTTTGTTTTTCTTAGTTCACATTTAACAAGGAGGAAACATGCAAACCTGTTTGTACAAAAACGTATGATACCAAGAAGCCAGAAGATAAACAGAAATTAGACTTTTTGAAAAAAAGTATGCTATTGAATTATCAACATCATTGGTAAGTTGATGCCAGAAGTCATGTTATTAAAAACACAGATGAAATGTCGAATGTTGCCTCTCATAAAATGCATTTCTCTGGTGTCGTATTCTGTTTTTTCAGACTTGAAACAGCCACTCATGCTACAAAGGCAGTGAGTGCTTTTTCTGCTGTTCCTGGTAACAAATATTAGACCTACTTAGGCATAGAATATGGCTCACAGATGTAAATCTTCTTAGGAAGCTCTTGAAAATTCCCAGAGTTGGAAGTTGATAGATTAGGCCTCTGTTTGCAAACTCTTCTGGTTTATGCATGCTTATGGAAGTGAACAAGGAAGTAATTAAAAAAAACCCACTACTGTGAAAGATGTAGTGCCTTTTGCAGAGATCTTGAGTGTGCAAGCCTAAAGCAACAATAAGCAGAGACACTGGATTTGGTTATGTTCCTATTAAATAATCTATGCACTTATAATGCTTGAACTACTTTAATTTTTTTCTGATATATGTTGTTGTGGCATAAAAAATTAGTTTGTAAATTTTGTGTATATATGGGTATGTGAGTGAAAAATATAGTATCCAGCACTTGCACTCAGTTGCTTTTTGAAACAAATTCACTATTTTTGTAACCACCCCCAAACTTCAAGCTGATTGTTAATAGAGAAACTGCAGCAGAACTGTGCAAAACTAATCACATGTAAAAGCACTTTAGGCTGTTGAAAAAAATACCTTTTTAGCTGGTAGGATAGTGCAGATTCCTCCTTACCTGTAGCTCCAAAATGGAGGCTTCTGGCTTTTCCGATGAGTGAGGTACAGGCGTGTGGTATAGGGGCATATTGTACAGGGATCAGCAACGTAGCGTAAGTGAGGATTTAATAGAGGTTTATTATCCAACTTCAATTTGTCATAAAATTCCTGGGGAACACAGATGGTGCGAAGTACTTTCAAGGTTTTAAAAGCTACTTAATAAGCTTAGGAGTTGACATACTGAATTGAACTCAGCAGCTAAACTGATCTCTTGTCTGACAACGTTCATCAGCAGATGTTCTAGGGAGGCGTATAAGAACACTTGTATAGCATATTTCCCCCTCACATATAATCTTTTCAAGTCACTTTAAATTCGAAGATTAACTGTGGAAAATGATTTGCAGCTTAAACTATCAATTTGTTCCAGCATTGCTGCTTGAAGGCAGCTCGGTATGTCTGTGTGGCAAAAGCTTTATCACAGCCAAGCTCTTCTGCAGTAGGCCGATGACCTGCTTGTTTTTGGTTTCTGAAATGAGAAAATGCTTGCTTTTGTTAGCAATCTCCAGCATATATTACAGAGGTAAAATTCCAAATATGATCTAAATATAATGAATCTGTTGCTGGAATAGCTCCTAGTAAGGAGCTTATTATGTCTAATAGTGCGTGGGGAAGTGAGCAGGATTTGGTTGGTGTTGCTGCTGTTCAGAGCTCTGTGGGAGTAAACGTAGATGTATGTAGATGTAAACTTTTTTGGCCCAGTGGTGCACAAAGTGGCTTCTGCCCCATGACTTCATCTTTCGCATTTACTAGTGAATCTGTAAAATCATATCTTTGAGCAATTACTCTTGCCCTAATGGCAACTGCAGAATTTTAATCTTTGTTTAAATGGTTTTATTTTGGCATTTATCTTTCAGCTATTAGGAAAAAAACTTCATAATGTGAAGAAACTTTCCTTCTCTTTTGCAAAGGGACATGTGACTGTTGGATCCTATCTTTTCATACGGATAAAAAGTGTGTTTTTTCTGACAGCATGACTGGTGTACAGCATTTTTCTGTAGCATAACTGGTGTATTTTACAGTTGCATAACTTTCTGGAATTCTTCACCGGGGCTTGGGGTTCCTCTGCAAATTTTCCATTAAAATCAAATTGTAAACTTAAGGAGTTCAGGACTTTTCGAAGATATGACCTTCTGACAGAATTTATATTCATATAAAGGAAGCAGGTTTAAAAAAGAAAAGTAGGAGAGGTTGGTTTGAAAGCACTTACTTTCCAGTAAGTGTAGCGGTTCAAAGGCTTTTCTTATGTAAACTATCTATGAAAAGATTCCACAGAACTGCAGCTGGTTAGCAATTTACTTCAATAATGAAAAATGAGATTTGTACTTCGGCTTCAATGAAAAACAAAAATTTATATTATGCCATGACAAATCTATTGCAGTTGAGTAAGCGCAATGAAAGAGCCTGCTGGATGATTGATTATGATTAGGAATATATATGTGTGTGGGGATGAATGTGATCATACAGGCAATATTTAGGAAGATTTTTTGTTTTATCATAAAGAAACTTGGAAAACTTGATTTTAGCTGTTTTAGTGGATGGTTTGGGCCATTTGTAAAGACAAAATAGTGAAATGGTCAATCTGTGGATTTAAGAATTTGTTTTGGCCTGTATTTCTGAGGGCACTTTGGAAATTAGTCCGGTGAGGGGAATGTATTGGTAGTCACAGGAAAAGTCTCCCATTTCCAAGCCATTTTCTAAAGAAATATACGTTTTTAAAATCTGAAGATATTTCAGTCAGAACTGCATACTGCAGTTCCAGCTGGGATGCATGTAAATGCTACAGTTTTAGACTTGAGATTTAAAAGAAATTTTATTCTTTTATTTAACCTTCCAATATCTTATGTAGCATAATGAGATTAATTAGATTAATTAGATTAGCATATTATCTTATCAATATTAATCTGTTTTAATTTATACTGCTGTCTGTTTTGCGAGACTGTGAAATAAGTGTATCATTTCCAGGATAGTGGACAACATGCCCGTGACGTGGTGCTATGATGTTGAAGATGGCCAGAGGTTCTGCAATCCTGGTTTTCCTATTGGCTGTTACATTACTGAAGATGGCCGTCCGAAAGATGCCTGTGTTATTAATGTATGTTTATGAAATTTTACTATTTAAAGCAATGTCTATTTTGATTAATGTAGAGATTGGCATTCTCCTGTGTCCTGTTTCTATGAGTCCTTGTGATCTTAACGCTTATTCCCTAAAATGGGGTGAGGGTTTAGCTGTCCCTGTAAATGCCACAACTTGTAAGCCTGTTTAGGAGAAGCCTTTTGGCTCCTCTTTGTGTCATAGAGAAGAGCTGAAAAGAGATGGGAGAGGGGAGTTAAACTCACATAGCCTTTATTATGTATAGGGTGTGCAGGAGAACAAGAATGTTATCTTTCATTGCCTGAAGAAATCAGAATATTCTGCAGCTTGGGCTTCCCATTTTTGTGGGATAGAGTGTTTTCTTGGAAGCAGGTTTGCATAGATAATATTTGCTTTCCTTTATACGAAGTTAAGCTCCTTGAAGGATTGCTTTCTCTAAAAGAGTGTGAGCTAGTGCAGAATATTCTTCTCTTGCAAGGAAGAAAGATATTTTGGTAAATGAGAATTAGAAAACCCCATCACGTCTTCAGATTACCCCAGACCTCCTCTTCAGAGATGAAATAGGTTTTAGTTTTTCACAGTTTCTGAACCTTCCTGAAGAGAATTCCTGCAGTTCCTGGCCCCTTTTCCTTTCCTTTCATAATTCATCAGTTTCAGAGATGCCAGTGTGAATGGGTGCTGAAAATACATTAATGATCAAAACTACAATATGACAATGTTCATCTAACCTCATTTAAATATATATATATTTGGTTTTGATAGAAGGAAAATAGCCTAAAAGGCAAGTAATTGAAGAGCTGTAGTAGAGTACTTTGTTTATATAATCGTGCTTATAGTTAGGGCCCTTGGAGAAGAGTGGTGTGGAGGAGTAGAACCCTGAAGAGGTGCTAGCTGAACTTCAGTAGACATAACTTCTGTGCTTTCACTTGATATTTAACTGCCTAAATTCCAAGCCCACCTGTCTCTTCCCCTGAGATTTGTATTTAGCATTCTTAGTTGCTGCTTGCAGCTCTTCCTTGGGCATCTTTGGTTTGAAAGTGAAACTGTTTCAGTTTCTTGCCCCCTTTATCCTGGGAGTTTCTTTTTAATCTATGAAGAAAGTACTCAGTGTGTTAAAGTAGTTAATTGGAACACTTGTATGAAAGTTGTCACGTATTGTTCAGCTTCGACTTCCTTAGGCAAAATGGAATATTTCAGTTATTGAAACATATAAGATAAAGTTTGTCTATTTTTTCCATACTGTAATAACTAGAACTATAATAAGCAGTTCTAACTATTAAAACTTTCCTTTTTTTTTTTAATGTAAGGCAGCACTTCACTGTGTACAGAATCTCATATTCATCTTGTAGGGGACCTTCCTGACAAGAAAACTGTGTGCAGTCTGAATTCCATTTTATAAACTTCTGCCAAGGCTTTAGATGTCTTTGTCTTCCTGATTAACTTTTTTTTTTTTTTAATCTTTGCAGTCAGAATTTCATGAAAAGGATACATTTTATATCTTCAACCATGTTGACATAAAAATATATTACCACATTGTGGAAAATGGAGCTGTGGGAGCAAGACTAGTTGCTGCTAAACTTGAGCCAAAAAGGTTAGTATTCAGGAATTAACTTGTCATCGAAGAGAGGTCCATCCTAGAGACTTGCTTTGGTTCTGGGATCCATTGCTATTCAGAAATGCTTTTAGATGTGTAACTGGTAGGTTAGCTTTCCTACTGATTGTCTTACAACTGATTACATAATGTAACACACTTTTGCTGTGAATTCCATAGATCCTTCTGCACTATTTCCTGTTTTGGCCGAAAGAGATAAAATAAAACCCAGAGGTCCTATGTATTCAGTAAAGATACCCTCATTTCTTAAGTGGGGAATGTTTTACCTTGTGACTGAATTCATTGCTTGAGGCATGAGTAATCAGGGTGCAGCATCTGATGTCTTCAGCAGTTAATATTTAAATAGAAAGATTTCACAACTAGATTATCATTGTTCTAGTGTCTGTATGGCCTTTCCACAACTGATGCTTGTTTTATTACCTCTTGGCATCTTAAATCTCTTTTCTCTTGTATTCTTAGTATAACTGAGCTTATTGCATTGTGCTTCAGTATCATGATCAAAAGATATTTCTTCTTCTGCTACCTGTTTTATAGAAGTTAGTAATTCCATTGTGTGATGACTTTTGGTAGAAGAAGCCTTTTGGGGGTTCTCTGTTTTTGAGACTGTGTTCTCTAGTTCTTGTTCTTCAGAAGCAACTGCTTGTGTGTGTAAGTTTTGATGGCAAAAATTTCTTCACTTTCGATATGTTTCTTGCAAGTTCTGAAGCTCAATAACTATTAGAAACAATTTTTATGTTTAAGGAAAGAGACTTGAATGAGCCTGATCCTTGTGTGAACTTGCATATATGCTTTTTTTTTAATAGTGTTGTCAGTCAAACAGCTTTCATGTTATGTCTTTCTTCCCACAGTTACAAGCATACTCATCCAGAGAACCCTGACTGCTCAGGAGTACCTATGGATATAAGTAATAAGGCTAATGGAGAAGTCAAAATTGCTTACACGTACTCAGTTACTTTTCATGTGAGTGTTAAGCTTTTTAGTGTTAGTTACTCCTTACAGCAAATCATGTACATTAATAATCTTAAGTATAAGAGATGGATAACTAAAATTATTTCAGAATAGAAAACTAGTCATTCAGAAATGTTTTTTTATATATTTATTCGATCTAGAATATTAAATATGACTTGGGGTTTAACTGCATGGCTTATATTTTTCATAAACCCCCTACTAAACTTTAAAACGCTGTATAGTTTTTAAGAGAATTTTACTTTTCCGTGACCAGCTAGGTTGCCTGGTAGATTAGCTCCCAATCCAAGGGCAAACCTGAGAAATTGCAGGGTTTGGCAAATTAATGTGGGAGGCAGGTGGGAGCTGGTTGTTTTCTCCTTTTCCTTCCCTGGAAATGTGCCAGAGAGTAGGGAGCTGATACTCTCTGTTCCTCAGCTCCCTGTTTAAAAGCAGGGAAGCAGTATATCAGGCAACTGCAGGGAGCAGTATTTGAATGTGCCTCATTCTGGTGATGGGATAGGCAGATGCATTCTTTTTAATGGCATTTGCTGAAAAACTGTTTTGCAGAGCATTAGTCTAAGACCTCAAAAATGCAAATGGAAAGGTAAGAGGAGTGAAGGCTGTAACTAATTGGACTTGGTGACTCCCTATATATGTGTTGAAGGGATAACCTGCACAGAGCTGTCACAGGTGGTCTTACGTCCAACCTTAATGATCCTGCAGTCCTGAGGATGAAGGAGCCTGCTGCTTGCTTTTTTTTCATTGTGGATTTTCATCAATTGGCAATTAACAGATGAAAAATATCAGTAGGAAAGTGTTTAATGTTGTTTAAAAAGCTAAACAATTTTCTTATGCTAACTCCAAGTCAGTGGTGCCTTTCTAAATGATAGGCCATTGTCATATAAACAGTGTTCATAAGTCTTCCATATTTCTGGACTTCGGGCTTGCTCTAGGATTCAGTTCAGCTGTGGTAAAATGGAGACAAAATGGTTGATCTTTAAAGTTAGTTGGAAAGCTATGCTGAGGTTCTGCTTTGAAGTTTGCCATGACTTGACTCTGGTAGTGTGCTGGATTACACAGCAAAGTGCAAAATAAGATAAATACTTTCAGAAAAATACGTAAGAGAGGTTATATTGCGTATGACAATTGTTCATCATGACTGTCACGATGCTGAAGCTCTTTGTATGCTGTTAAGTGAGAAAGTTTTGGAAACTTGTGAGAAGTTAATTATTAAGGAGTGAGCTTTGCTTTATGCGGTTGTATTACTACTTGTGCAAAAGTGACGTGTCCTGCTGTGTATGTGTCCTACTCAATTGTGCATGATGTCATGTCACCTGGAGGTCCTTCTCTGGCATTTTGTCAGATTGGCAGATAGGCCCCCTCAGGAAGAGGGAAGAGAGTCAGTCTAGGTGCAGGGGGCAAATGTGGTTCTGTCCTAAAGTCACTGATGTAGTTTAGAGACTTGGTAGTTGCATTGAGACATGGTTTTTGCAATGACCTAGATGCTTGATCTTGCTCAATTTTCTATCTTACAGGCTTTTGTGTCTTTACAAACTGGGTTTATTGGGAAGAAAGCTTTTGTATATTATGAGTTATTGAAATAGCACTCTCTCAGCAAAACACCTAGTTATTTTTATTGTTTTTACTATTTATGATTTGTTTAATAGCAGTCTTCATTCTGATCAGCATTATATATTTCATTTGCCATGTCTGCTCTGAAAAGTAAAACAAGTTATCTGAAGTATTTCTGATCAATGAGTAAGTTCAATGAATAAGTTGGAATACAGAAAGGAATAGTTTATTTTCATCTGCTGACAATGCAGACTTTACTAGTGCCTTGCTGTATAAGCTGCCTGGACTTGGAGTGGTAGTTCTTAAATAAAAGAACAATTTGGGCAGGGGGCTACTAGGAAACTGGAAAGCTGTGCTCAGTACCCTTTCTGTAGCATCACTTGGTATTGACTTAAGTTTGCCTAAAAGAAGCAAACAAAAAAGATATTAAATATTAGAGCTGATGGTTGTTCCAGTTCCACATGAATTGATCTGATTCTCAAAGGGCACAGTTAAATTTGATATAGCTTCATGTCCTATAAATAAATAAAAATAGGTGCTCAATACTGTTTAGAAAATATTTTATTCTAGATTCTGTGATTAAATTCTAGGCTTGCTTTAGGCAGGTGCTATTAATTTACTCTATCCACTTTAAGCCTTGTAAAATGAAATTTTTAATTTGTCATGTTGAAAATTGCTTTTCATGAATAACAACTTGTAAGTTTAATTTGGAGACTGAATGTATCTAAAACTGAGACATTTACTCTTTCAGGAAGAGAAAAAAATAAGATGGGCATCAAGATGGGATTATATTTTGGAATCCATGCCTCACACTCATATTCAGTGGTTTAGGTGAGAAGAACGATGTTTGTATTCTGCTCTTCTGTCCTGAAGAGTTGTTGCACTGGAATTTTAATGGTGTTTTTTATTGTTTTTATTAATACAGTATCATGAATTCCCTGGTGATTGTTCTTTTTCTGTCTGGAATGGTAGCTATGATTATGTTGAGGACACTGCATAAAGACATTGCAAGATACAACCAGATGGATTCCACGGTAAGTCTGGAATGTACCTCATAAATTATACTTGGAGTATATATTTTTTAAGCTAAGTAATTCTCTATAGCAGGCTATTTAAATGGTGATCCCCTATATTATAATGGTGTGTTTGCTTTACAGGAAGATGCTCAGGAGGAATTTGGCTGGAAGCTGGTTCATGGGGATATTTTCCGGCCCCCAAGAAAAGGAATGCTGCTGTCTGTTTTCCTGGGCTCTGGCACGCAGATCCTCATAATGACCTTTGTTACCCTCTGTAAGTAAGAGAGCGGTGGTGGAGATGGTTGTATACAGAGGTTCTCTTACTGCTTGTTGCATGACACTAGTCAAAATGGGAATTTCTTTATCTAGAAATTTTTTAAAAGACTGAGATTAGAAAGAGAGGAGCTGGTATATTAGATATGCAACTAAATATATATAAAGAAAATAACTGATGCAGTGGCTTTAGATCAAACACACAATTTTAGAACTCAGTTCTACGTATCTGCTTTGCAGTTTTTGCTTGCCTGGGATTTTTGTCACCTGCTAACCGGGGAGCTCTGATGACCTGCGCTGTAGTCCTGTGGGTGCTGCTTGGCACTCCAGCGGGCTATGTTGCTGCCAGATTCTACAAATGTAAGTCAAAGTTATTTAAAATGACAAGGATTAAGTTCATTAGACTAAATTATCATCACAGAACTGATTTTTATTTTATAGTTTCATAGTTTCTCTCAGAGTAAGATGGAGAAATGTACTTAACAGAAAACAAATACAAAATTATGCTTTAGTTAAATAGCATAGTTAAATTTTCTGATGTGATCATGTCTGAAGTCCCTGATTGCTCACAGCTGTGTATTATATGGAAGGGGGAAATTCTGTTTTAGTAATGCAAAGCTCATTACTTCTGATGGCTTTGTACTTATATTTTCCTATTCTGGGTGTGTGTGTGTTTTA